GCTTTTGTGTTCTTCTGCGGCCGGTCTTGCAGAACTTAGCTCCGACCGCATGGACAGATTCCACGAGCTTGTCATTCATATCGTTCACTGCATTGCAATCTTCTAGGCACTGAAAGCGGTTACGTAACTCGAGCTAAAAGGTTTCGGGATTCTGGATTAGAGCACGAGGGGGGACGGAGCGTTGACTTCATTAGATGAGACCTCTCCAACTTAACGTTTACGTTCAGTGTGCCTCTAACCATTCGGTGATCGCTGCCAGTTTTCCCCCTTGCGATCACTGAGACATCACTGAACAGTTGGCGTCTGGTCGTCATAATGAAGTCAATCTCATTTTTTGTCGAACCGTCGGGGCTCGACCAGGTCCACTTCCTGTGGAGCCGCTTCTGGAAGAAAGAGTTCATCATAAAGAGTCCCTCTTTCTCCATGAAGTCGGCTTCTCTCACTTCATCTCATCAACTTCTTATTTCCTCTTGTATCTTGTAGAGTTCTGTTCAAGGCCTCTACGCAACGCTTATGAGCCATAGTTATTTCATCCCACACTATAATTTTTCTATGTTTTAATACTTCAGCAAAATTACTTTGTTTCGATATATTACAAATAGGACTATCAGCTGTTGTTAAATTGAGTAGTAACTAGAAGGTAGCATGAACAGTTCGTCCACCCTTAAGCAGTATAGCTGTGATCACAGAAGAAGCCATAGCCAAAGCAATTCCGCGAGTACCTCAAACATTTTCTAATAGCAAATTTATGAGAAATGTTTTGCCTGTTCCACAAGGAGCATCTAAAAAGAATATTCCACCCACATTTGATTCAGTTTTTGTGTTAATTTCATTGTAAACTGCTTTTTGTTCGTCATTCAGTGATCCTCCATTATTTTTAACGTGTTTCCTAATGATGCTAAGTCGTAACTTGTCTCTTTAAGAAACTCTCTATTTTCAAATTGTTGTTGTTTGCTTAGCTGAGATAACCCAAACTCTTTTAGTAGCCGACCACCCAACATTAATACGGCATCTTCTATTACCGAAAGGCATTTGTTAAATACCACATCTTTTATGTGCTCTACATCCACATCTCTCTGTCTTCCTAATTGCCTTTTAAACTTTTCAGATAGGTATTCTTTGAATTTATCCCAAAGGCTTAAAGTCTTTGGGCTTAAAGGGTCTAATACTTGATCAGACCCTTTAAGATAAGCAGCGACCCAGATAAGCAGAACACGAAAATAATCGTAAAAAGATCCCAAATCATTTTGCAAAGTGCTGTCTCTTCCATTGCTGCGAACAAATGCTGATCATCTTCAAGCAAGCCGATAGCTTTGCATTCTGATTGAAACGTGGAATATACATGACTATTTACAGTTTTTAACGCTTCAAACGAAATTGGCCTCCGGATCTCATGAATAAGCATGCGAAGGTGATAGCATTCTATGTTGTTCAGATGCACAGTATATACTTTACCCAGAACGTGCTCTTTTTTGACCTCTGGCCAGCCTTCAACGTTTGCTCCTCTCTTTCTCCCTTGGAACTTTCTTCTATCCCAAACGTAGTATGCAGGTACTTCTAGGTAGAGCAATGTTTTTGCAACGTTATCCACTTTACACAAATCGAAAAAAATAGGAGTGTGGGTTGGAGGACTATTCACTCTTTCACTCAGTTTTGCTCATTAAAATAAACCCTTGCCCATTTTCAAATGAACAGCAAGGTGTACTACGGGAGGGAAACGCTCATGAATGGGAAATTCAAGAATTCGCCATAATGCCTTTGATGAACTTATATATCATCCACTTGTGTAGGTTTGAACTTCATCCTTCTCATTCTCTAAAGCAAACGATGCCTGGTCTGAACCTTTATTTTAAAATATTCCACATTTAAATGAGCGTTAAATGTTTTTAATAATACTGGAATATAAGGGACTACCCAGACATTACCTATGGTTGTGCCTTTGATATCAACAGAGAACCCACCGTCATCTAGTAAACGTCTCTTGTACTACGGATAGCCGTCCTCACCGGTTTGAGTTTACCTTGTGAGAGCCCTGGGGTGTTGTTTGCTGCACATGTTATCTTTCATATATGGTGACTTTCGATTTGAAGTTCCACATGGACCATGTATCATATTACATTAAACGATTTCTTGAAGCTCTGGTTTACGTTTGGGATCCGGTCTTTTAGCACAAATTATATTGTCGATTTAATCCGGAGTAATACGTTTGTGAAGCCATAAAAGAATATGAATATGTGGAAGACCCCTCTTTTGCCATTCCGTTGAGTATATTAAGTATCGCACTTCACCGAACATTTTGCCCTTTGTCAATAAGTTCACGATCTTTTTCATCTTTAGTCAAAACACCCTCGAAATTATATCGTGTTTATCATGAGATTGTTGTCTTTGAAGCAATTGCTCTTTTATCTCGTCCGAGCGAGGTTTACCCGTGAAAGTGATAAAAAGATCAGGCCGGCTATAATTCCTAACAGGTCATAGTGTCCTGTGTTCTTTCGTGCATATACCTAGGTTCCCCCGTAAAAGATGATGGAAGGACAACCATTTGTCCTAGTTGGTTAGCTTCTGCGTCTTGTCGTCCAATAGCATCTTTTAAATGGATGTAACTATCAGCACGTAATTTGGTTTGATTAATTTTGATATAATTTAATCTTTCCTTTTCTATTTGGGCGTATTCATCCACCAAATATTGACTAGAAAGGGCACGATAGTTGACTAAGTAGTTATCTTCTCTTTCTTTAATCATAGTTCTATACGAATAGAAACTCGCAGAAGAGGCAGTTTTATTAAGTGGCAACTTAGTTGTGGGATCGCGTTGTTGATTGAATACCCATCAACCCCCCCAGCAAAACATCAACGGCTACTGTATGTTCGATGTTTCTTACTAATACGCTAAATTGAATTACTTCGGCTCTCGAGGATGATGTTCCTTCAATCAAATTGTTGATCCACTAACACTAAAGCCACTTCATTTGTAGTTGGTGCATTGTACCTACCTTTATGTTCTTCTAGTGGTTTTTCTATCAGCATGTATGACAACTTTGTATGACTCTGAAGGATTCAGATCTTTATCAATGCCACTTTTATATATAAAAGATATACCCGTATATAAAAGATCTTTTATATACGGGTTCACCTGATGCAGCATATTCTGTAATTGTTTGGTTAATTTTGGCTTTAAGTGAGGAAATTTAGAACATCTGATCTTTGCTTCTCGATCATCTTCACCTGCAAAATATATTTGAAGGTACTGAACTTCATGTTAAGCTTCCGATAATATACTTCCAATTAAATGGAATATTTAATTGAAAGTATAGTAATCCAATCAAAATTAACGGAAAAACATGCACTTATACTTTAAAAGTCGGTGAAAAACCTGCTGATACCTGTTTACCACCAAAGGAAGTCATCTGGGAACGGGCATTATAAATATAAATATTACTCATAAAATGGTCATGATCTGTATGTAGATCATTAATCAAAGTAAAGAGTGGTTCACGCAGTTATTTCAACCAATCAAGTTGCACTTTTCCAGCGCTGCAACACATACCGGGTGTCTCGTCCTTCCATTTCAGCGCATTGCACCACTGACACTTGTATGTCACAGAACCCAAGGCTACACAGCTGTTAGTTCCATAAGCAATATCAAGGTCATACTCCATATCGGAATGGACCTTCTCTTTCCAGTGTTCAATCGGAAGCTCAAAATCTGCTAAATTCTACGTTTGAAAATAGATGAAAAACTCAAAGAAACAGTTTTTCTACGATTGAGAGCAGACAAGATATCACTTGTGGCAAAAACGGATCCTCTTATATGTGCTTTTGGGTCCCAATATTTAAAAGTCCACAGAGAGAGGTATTTTGTAAACGTGCTATCGAGAAAAATGAAAGAAATGGGAAAACTTTTAATTGAAATAAGAAAGATTGATCCATCCATAAGGGATTTGTTCGGTGCCTTACGACCAAACTATTACAATATATTTGGAGAGGCAATCAAAGTGTTAGGAAAATATGACGGTGAAAAAGATAGATTTGAGACGCCTACGTTCGCAATGAATTTGTCAACTGCCATTAAACAGTGTTGCAATATAGCAATAATGTTTGCAATATAAAAACAAGGACCTCACATGGATGTAGATACAGATAAAATTGAAGCAGACTTGAAAACAACGATACAACTCATAGAATCAAATTGGAAATATGATATATCAAGTAAAGCCGCGACAGATCTGAAGCAAAAAAAAATGGAACAAAATAACTATTATCACTTTAGCAAATGACTCGAAAATTCTAAAAGAATACTTAAATAAAAATCTCTGGAGGCTTATATACAAATTAAAGAAGGGATCAAAAGTATTGCAACATACACACAACTATTAAAAACTGTGTATTGTAGGATGTTATCTTGAACGTCTATTGAACAGACGCAGGCCTGGCGAACTTCAAAGAATCACACTGCACGACTATTTAAAAAGTGAAAATAATGCATCTGATAAGTTTGATGAATTTGATCGTGCGCTTACTGCCTCTGAAAGGATTGTGATTAAGAAATATAAGGAGTTGTTATTAGAGGCAAACGTGGTCGTGGAGTACCCGTTTTGTTTAATCAAGAAGTTCAAGAGGACATAAAACTATTATTGTCAATAAGACACATGTTTTTTTCTTCAAAGCCAAATATTTTTATTTGGTAATCCAGGCTATGAAAACACTATCTATGGCAAGATTATCTAGAGCAGAAACCCCAAAATCATTCTCGTCTACATGACTCAGAAAACACTAAGCTACGTTGTCACAAATATTTAGCATGTCTGAAAATGACATGGAGAGATTGGCCACATTTACGGATCATAGTAATATAACAGAGCACAAAAAAATTATAGATTGCCAGATAACGTATACTAAACTGCTAAAATATCGAAACTTCTTATTCTTATGGAAGATGGTAAAGCAGATCCTTTATCGTCTTCCATACAGGAAAGACTCTCGAAGAGATCCATTTAGATATGAACGAAGAGCTAGATGAAGAAGTTCTTGATAACGATGAAATACTGGATTATGATTGTGAGCCTATCGAAACTGTCAACTCCGATTGCGTTCAACAAATGCGTAATCAAAACAATTTATCTCAGGCTGGACCATCCAGTATTCAGACTTCTCAGCGATGCGACACGGAACAGGTAACACAGGTATTAAATACCAATAATAAAATAAAAACAGGAAAGAAAATAATACCTAGTACCAGTACCTTGGACGTCGGAACAAAAGAAAGTCGTGACAAAATTTTTCAAATTACTCATTTAAAATAAGCAACCACCTAAAATACATGAATGTGAAATACTAAAAGAACAACACGGAGATTTGCTGGAAAACAACAACTGGCTTAAAATTAAAGTTTTTGTGCGAAATATTTACTTTAAAAAATGAACGAATTATTAACAATCTTTGTTATTATTTTCCAAACGATGTCCGTATAATTTAACAAGTCCGTACAATTTAACATCTTTCAAGATCCACAACATATACCAATGATCAATAATTTAAATATTGTATAATTTTAGTGATTTAGTTTCCTAATATGCTATATTAAGAATGTTATTGTTTTATTTCTATTTCTTAATTTTTTCTGAAAATTACAATAATATATCGCTGGCCCCGGGCAATATAGCGGTAAGCGCCTGTTACACCCTTTTTAATGTTATTTGATTTTTGGCTTCTCTGAGTATCAGTCTATCACTCTTATTTTATTCAGCTTTTTTATTAATATTTCTCTAGGATAAATGACAACAGCTTTATTTCATGGAAATTATTTCACGACTAAGTTATGTATTAGTGCATTACTCTAGGAAACCAAACACAAAAACCGGTGAATATCTTTACACTAAATTTCTAAACAATTAGGAATGGTATTACATTTAACCGCTTTTTTGTAAATAAACTTATTACATCAATAAAATGTAGACACTTAATACGAAGTAATCATAAGAGATTTTATTCTGTACAAACTATTACTGTAAAATAAAGATAATATTCATTTACAGATGATATGAATTTCAATAATAACTTATGTCATTGTTTCTTTAATAGCGCTGTATTCTAATTTAGTAGTCATCCAGTAGTCTGTGTTGTTTTCTGTTGTGTTGTAAATGATTGAACACCAGGTGTCGCCGATAAATTTATAAGGTAAAAATTAATTCACGATGTAGAGAGTGTTCTGCCGGACCATTAAGTAGGTTTATGATTTAGGTATTTTCAGCAAATACATGCACTACATCCACCGTACATTTGGTGTTTCATTTCTAATGAACACATATAGTATTGGTGAAGATTTTTGAAAGTGTGAAGCTGTACATAGTCCTTCGAGCACGATATTATCTCTGGGACTGTCGGCAGTATTCATAAGGACGAATTGTCGTCGATGGTGTTCAAGCGACATATATTTTGCTCCCGCCTCTTCTTTACATGTGAAGCGAAGTGAAAGAGATAGCACTAACTTTGTTAATGGAGCTGTGGAAAAGTTAGAGCAAGTAAATAGGAGGAGGTTATAATTGAAGGAAACCGACGGAGCAGGAAGAATAGGCTTATCGAACGTGTCCAAGATACTGAAGCTACTAGGCTGCACTTAAAGTATCGGGAAAGGAATATTTCCACTGTTCCTGTCATATTAAAATCTTTTTAATTGAAAACTCCTTGGTTTTAAAAATCGAATACCATATTATTTATTTAAAAAAAAGATTCTCGGTCTTGTGACAAGGTTTTGTCAAACTTGTTTAGTCGTTGAGAAAATGGAATTGACTCGAGAAAATTCAAAAGCGATGATTTATTATGACTTTCGAAGTGGTTTAACACAAAAACAGTGTGTTGACTGGATGATTTCTGCATTTGGTGATGAAGCCCCATCCAAAACCAAAATTTATCGCTGGTTTGCTGAATTTCAACGTGGACGTGTCAAGCTCAGTGATGATCCCCGTCAAGGTCGTCCAAAAACTGCAGTCACCCAAGAAAACGTTGATGCTGTGCGTAAGCTGATTGAGGAAGATCGACATGTGCACCGCGAAATTCAGGCAACTTTAGACATTGGCATGAGTCAAATACAAATAATTTTGCATGAACAATAAGGTGTAAAAAAGTTGTTTCCCGATGCATACCGCATTCGCTCTGTGAAAAGCAAAAAGCTGCTCGCGTTACTTGGTGCGTCAGAACTCTCGAAAGATTCCACGCAGGATCCTCAAATGCTGTATACAACATCGTATCAGGTGACGAATCCTGGATATACGCGTACGAACCCGAAACAAAAAAACCAGTCACGAGTTTGGGTGTTCGAAAATGAGTTAAAGCCAACAAAAATTGTTCGTTCACGGAGTGTTGCAAAAAAAATGGTGGCCACGTTTGTCTTTAAAACCGGCCATGTTACGACTTTTCCTCTTGAGGAACAAAGAACGGTTAATGCAGAATGGTATGCTAGCATTTGTTTGCCACAGGTCGTTTCTGAACTCCGTAAAGAGAACTGCAACCGCCGCATCATCCTTCATTACGACAATGCGAGTTCTCACACCGCACACAGAACAAAAAGAGTTTTTAGAGCAAGAAAACATAGAATTATTAGACCATCCGCCGTACAGCCCCGACCTAAGCCCCAATGATTTTTATACTTTCCCTAAAATAAAGAATAAATTGCGTGGACAGAGATTTTCATCACCTGAAGAAGCTGTAGACGCCTACAAAACGGCCATTTTGGAGACCCCAACTTCCGAATGGAATAGTTGCTTCAATAATTGGTTCCATCGTATGGAAAAATGTGTCAAATTTTGCGGAGAATACTTCGAAAAGCAATAAATACATTTTTAAATAGTAATGTTGTGTCACTTCCTTGATTCCCGAAATTTTCAGTGCCGCCCTCGTATAGAGGCTGACGTCACTGTCAGAATATCAGTGTACATCTGTAGTAAGTTGAAGTGTCAAACCGTGAGTACATTTTATTTGTTTACAAGTTGTTGTGTCAAGTCAAAAGAAGCAGAATTTGAACTTTATTTGTTAAGATATTTAAACATAGTAAAATTAATTCAAAATATGAACTTTGCGAAATAATTTATATTTAGACAGAATAATTTTAAGAATTTGGTTGTAACGTTGCTTCTGAATGCACCCTTACAAATACTTATAATTGATTGATCTTAAATCTTAAATGAATAATAGTAATATAATATTCTAATCTGAAAATAAAAAGTAACGAATTATTACATATTGTTAATTTAAAATAGTTATTCTATGGAACCATAGACTATTTAATTTAATCCGCGCAGCGTGAACCATTTTGCTCAACGATCTCTAAAACAAAAGACTCGGTAGGTTTCGGACACGACGACGAGTCCCCGTTTGGGCCATTCCTCTTTCATTTCTACCTGAGACCGCTTCAAGTTCGCAACGCGCGTGGACCTTCTACTAACGACCGTTGAACCTGCTTACCTACAATTTAAATTATTCGAGGTGCAGTTGATCCCGGTGGGGTGAGTTCTTATTTATTGAAACATTATAACTGTTCTGCTTAATCAATACCTCTTTTGCTGAGGCTGCTTAGTGCTTAGCTTTAAGAATTTTGACTTCCTACAAGGGGGCTGGAATCGACTGGGGCGCATATAGTGCTATAGGAAGTTTCCCTAATGCTGGCCTCCGTCTGGAATTCTAGGATCTACTACCACCTAGCATCTACCTACTACCTAAGCATACCTGCTACCTAAGGGCTACTGCTGCCGAGCCGCGAGCTAACGGAGTGTTGGTCTACCCTCCTACCAACGGCCATCATCACTATCGGCTTAGGCTACACCGACCCTTCTGCTAACTGGCTGTCTACGGCCTTGGGGGAACAGCGCTTGGACTACGCCCCTACGTCAGGCCAGTGATCCCCTTAATAGAAGTTACTTATACGTGTGCGGAAGTAAGATAAATAAATAATTACAATACAGTAAATTTTTTTTTTTTTTTTTTTTTTTTTTTTTTTTTTTTCCCCGTGTTTTTCTTTTTTTTCTTTTGTCTTGTTCTTGGCTTTTTAAGAACCCACCTATTCTGTACCCCTAACGGTACATGGTGCATACGGGGAACCTATGCCCGATTTTTCCCTGAGTACTAAGTTCAAAACACTTGTAAAATTTTAAAAATTAAATTAGTAGGTATTTAACTCTGCAAAAAGAGATCTTGTTATGGACTTAGAAAATTTTGCAATATTGTAGTTTGGACTTAGTATAATTTTTAATTTTTAAATTTGTTACATACGGGGAATCCATGCCCGATTTTTGTCAGAGTTAAAAACACTGTCAATTTTGCAATACTTAGAAAAAAATATTTTTAATCAGTTCTGTTGAATAAGTCTTTTGACACATTTGTTTACATTGAGAATAGATTATAAAGGACATTGCCCATTTTCGGCCATGGAACGCCCAACAATGTGCTTTTGTTAAAAATATATACCTCTATTTATGGTTATTAATCGCGGTATTCATTTATCCTAAAACAATGGGAATATTTTTGCACAAATTAAAAGTACCGAAAAGATAAAAATAAAATTAGGTAAATCAGTAATACATTAGTTTGTGAATAAAATAAAAAGTGTTGCCAATCACAAATCTCATTAAAAAAAATCGATTCACCTTTTTGATCGATTACTTACAGTGTCATTATTACAATGCTTATATAAGTTTTCGATAATTATTACAATGTTATGATATAGGTTTAAAATAACCGTTGACAATGGATATTTATCCAAAGCAGCCCATACGCAACCGTCATTAACCAGTTGTTTATCCGACTACAGACGAAAAAGGATGGTTATGTTTTTACTGTGTGTGCGGGTTAGGCTATGTTGAATCGTTTTTTGCTATGGTGCTTAAAAACGTAAGATGCATTTTATTATTGAGGGCGCTACTATCAAAGAATATTTTTTTCGCTAAACTTGTAAAGTAGGTACTTGACCAACTTTGAGAATTCTTTCACCACTAGATGTGGTGAGATCTGTTATGTATAATTTTCGATATCTAATATAGGGTTAATTTTACTATAGAGGGCGCTACTTTCAATGAATACGTTTTTTGGCTAATCTCAAAAATTACTAGACCGATTTTGAAAATTCTTTCACCATTACATTGCTAATGAGAGCGTTAGCTGTGTGATAAATTTAATTTATATTATTACAATAATTAATTGTGACATTAATATTTTCTAAATAAATAAAACTAAATACCTACCTAAGATGTTCAAATCCAATTATTATTTTTACAATTAAAGAATCGTATTTACACACTTTACTTAATCAGAT